GTCCATAATCGTGTTTTGGTGCATTTACTCTCCCTTCTTAGGGTTTTACATTGCTAAACGCATAAAATCCCCGAGACACTTGAATTCTTGTCATACAAATGCACATTTTCATAGAATAACTTTTAACATAGAAGTACTAGTTAAGTTTGACCGGTTTGACTCCTTGACTTTGACTTTGACTTGTTGACTTTGACTTTGACTTGTTATTGACGTTTGTCACATCATATATATATATATATATATATATATATATATATATATATATATATATATATATATATCAGTCATGTGATGCCTTAGCTAATGATTCAGAGACACATAAATTACCTCTTGGCCAAGGATGCAAATATAGGAGATGCAATAAGAAGTCCAACCATGAAAGCAGAAGATAAAATACCATCTTTAAAATTGCTTAGGTCAAATTCGCCCTTGTGGAAAAGAAGGTATAACGAACATCTGAGAAATGAAGTTAGTGATATTAATTTACACACAAAATCAGATGCTTGGAAGTAAGGGGTTGTTTGGCATGATTTGAATTATTAAGATCTGAAATTTTAAGAGGTCTGAATTTCTAAAATGGTCTGAAATTTTAAGATATGAGTATTTAACATATTTTTTGGTTGAAACATCTGAATTTTTATGCTGAATGATAAACATGACCATGTTACCCTTTGTTTAAAAAATAATAATTAATAATAATAAATCCATCAAAAGCTTGAGAAATTCACATTTACATATAAAAAGTTTACCAACATTTAATCCACTACATATGTTCACGACTTTAAAACAAAAATTACCAAAAATTTCCACATTAGGGCTTGCATTAAACAAGAAATAATCTCTTACAAATTCAACTTATAAATAAATGTTTGCATTCACTAAAAACTTTCCATCCAACAAACATACAATCTTTCATTCTTTTATTCATGCCTTAAAACTCCAGTTTTCAATCTTTGATTCCGACCTAATCAACACATTAAGTAAAGTGATGAGGAACTCCCACGTGAGGTCCTTTTATTGTTCATCCCAAATGTGAAATAACTTATGCCACGACTGGTATTCAAGGTACACTGGGAATCTAAAATGAAATCTCAAGCATATAACAAGAAATCAAGAAAACAAAGGCTTCATAATGGTGGCTACAACTGGGTATCATCCACAAAAAAAATTAACATCTATTTTCATCTGGGTATCGTCTACAGAAAAAATTAACATCTAATTTCATCTCTGATTTTAGAAAAAAATATATGTCAGATTTCAAATTCGATGATTCTATAAAGTAGGAAAACCAAAAATCGAAGACATTACCTAATTTCAAGCAAAACAAAAGAAAAAAAAAAACAACAAAACAAAGGATACGAAACAAACGATTTCAAGCAAAAATCGATTACATAGAGGTGGACAGTCGGACACGACGCCCACGATAGCAGAGAGGAACGCTGAGCAGATCGAGAATGGTGCGTCGATGAGAAGAAAGAAAGATAGAGGTGGGTATTCTTTGATGACAGAGAGAAGAGGCGAGGGTAGGGATTAGAAAAATTAAGATATGCGTCCTATTTTTTCTATTCAGACGTGAGTTTTCATCTGATTCGCTCAGACATTTTTTTCCAATTAAGATGATAAATTAAGTGTTAGCCAAACGCTCTGAATCTTATAGATTCAGAGGTACCTCTTTTTTAAGAGGCGTTAAGAGCTAAACAAAAGGGTCTAGAATTCCACTACCATCTTAACATACATTACTCTCTATACAAATTCTAAGGCTCCCATTTACACCATTAGTGTCAATTGCTCCTCGATCTATATAATTTACCATGTTGATCACACAGAATACCACAAGCAACCTGTTCATTATGACAATTTCAAGATTAGTTTTGCTGGATTTCTTCTCAATTGATCAAGAAGTGAAAAGACAGAAAGAGAAGAAACATGAAGAATGTACCTTTTGGGAGTGAACGAAGAAGGAGCAGGATCAGATACTAAAGTTGGATCTATAGCCATTTCTTCCTTCGTCTCTCTCTAAGAGTGACACTAGGTCTTGAAATTTCTTGATCTTCAAGTCCTGTGTTTAACCTTCATATTCCTCAATATCTATGTAAGATTCCTTCTCCACATCACATCTATCAAAACCTAACAATGATTTGTGCGAAATCCTTTTTACCCACCATAGAAAGCCCGAATAAAACTCTTCATTTCGGTAGTTAAGGTGAAGACCCAAAACCGATAATCATCGATCAGACTTGAGGAAACACAAATTGATAAATTTTAACACAAAAAAAAACTGATAATTTGGCGGCTGCTAAAGCAAGTAATTTTGATTTGACTAAAGAAAAAATCTTGACCGAACTTACAGGAAGGTGGTGACGGCCGACAGAGACCGTGATCAAAGGCGGAATATTTCAAATCTGATCAATACAGGAAGGTGGTGATGGCCGATAAGAAGGAGATTGAGCGGAGATTCGATGAGAAGATTAACAAGGTCAGGAGTAGCGGAGAAGTGGATCGGAAAGGAGAGAGAAGGAGGGAGAAGGGAGAGTTGATTGCGAAGATGAAAGATAGAAAGAAGGTAGAAACGAACAAGGCGGGTTTTCAAAAATTTGGGGATTTCGTTTTCCCCCGTTATCTACTAAACGTGCATTTAATTAAAATTATAAAGCGACAGTTATAGAGGACACACATTTAAGATAAAGCGCCCTCCGTGTTTTTAATATTTTTTTTCTTGAGACACTAATTTAAGGGCGCGCAATAATGCGTGACCTAAATCCTAAATTTTTTTGGAGAGATGACACTATTTTAAGGTCACTCTCTTTTGCGTAACATAAATCAGCGCGTGTCGTGGTTTGCATGTCATTAAAGTCATATATTTTCTTGTAGTGAAAGTTTGTTCAACATTTGTCTAAAGTGTTTAACTTATTTTGTTGTTTCCTAACAATTAAAGTGTTTAACTTTTTTTTGGAGAGATGACACTATTTTAAGGTCACTCTCTTTTGCGTAACATAAATCAGCGCGTGTCGTGGTTTGCATGTCATTAAAGTCATATATTTTCTTGTAGTGAAAGTTTGTTCAACATTTGTCTAAAGTGTTTAACAATTCCTTTTATATTTATCGTGGTTGCTACTCGAGTGACCACTTCTTAATTCCATGCAACGAGGATATTTTTGACATCCCATAACTTTAATGGTTTTTAAAACCAAGTTAAATTAAATTTAAAGCAAATCACTTCTTTAAATGTGAAAATTCCTTGTTAAAAAGAAACATTTTAAATTTAAAGAAAAAATACTCTCGAGTGTGGTATTGTAAAAACATTTCATACGTTAAGAACTAAACAATTTTTTTTAAGGCCGAATAAGTTGAAATATTTTTTTTCAACTGTGGTTTGTAGATCGTAAATGTTTTAGTTTTTCAAAACGGAAACAACGTCGTCTTAGTGTGGTATTGTACATCCTTTAATTATATATTTTTGGTTCTGTTTACATTATGATAGATGCATAAAAAAAGTTACCTACCGTTCTAAAATTTAATACATGTAATTAATGCCATTTCGTTTACAAAAGTATGACAAAAGATATATTGGGATAAAATGAATGAAAATAAGGCTTCATATATGATTTCTCGATCCAATAAATATTCTAATAATTAATCGATGACTTACACAAACTGGAAGAACCGAAGGACTGAAAATTGAACTATAAATTACACTTCAAACTTTTAGGAAACTGAAACATAGTAACTGAGAGTCTGAGATAAAACATCCGAGAAACTCAACACACCCATAAAAAGTAAATATCTTCAAAGTAACAACTTTGTAAATCTTCTTTCTCTGCACCAAACTTTCATATATATATATACTAGGAAACTTATACGGGCCGTGATAATCACGGCCCTAAAGAACTGATCGGTAAGCTAGTTTTAGATAGATTTTAAATGATAAATCTAATGTGAAAGGCTATAAGAAGTCCCAAATTTAATGTGTGGTAAATATTGTCAAAAATTTGTTGGGATCATTGCTAAACGGATTTAGAAATCTAAGAAAAATGTCTCATGTGTCACAAATATTATCATAAATAGCAAGAAATGCTCATTTTTATGCAACAACAGAACATGATCATGTTTTTTATATGAAGCAAAGTTTCTTTTGCCTTCTAGAAGCAACCATGTGGTTAGATACATGAATCATGCAAAAAAGATTAAAAATAGTTAATGAAATTGGCAAAATATTAAGGTAGTCCAAAAACTTAAGACTATAATGAATAAATGCTATCAACTTAAAGTGGTCATTATTATATATATATTAAAGTTATGAAAAGTTCTAATGACACATTGTCAATTTTGGTCCTCCAACTTACAACATTGACCCTTCATCTTTATGCTTTTGTTCACAAACAACCCTTTCACTTTGGTTTGAATTTTTCATAACCCTCGCCTTTTATTACATATTATTAGTATTTAGTCTTTTGGCAGAAATGGTCCCTCATCATTATTATTATTAGACAAAATTACACGATTGGTCCTGTGGTTTACCAGATTTAACATTCCCTTTTTGGTTTTAAATTAATGTTTTATTTATTAGAAAATAATCACCCAATACCATAAACCCACCCCCATCTCCCATCACCACCACCGCCAAAATTACAAAAATGGTCCATATGGTTTACCCATGGTGACAAATTCAGTCCCTACCACCTGAAAAGACCAAATTACCCTCACATTAACGGACAAAAAACAACCAACGTGCTACTTTACTTTACAAAGCAATACCTTCCGACCCCGGTAACGCCAGTGAATCTTTTCTAGTAGTAATTATCAAAGTCAATTGTTTTTAGTTCACAAGATTCCTTTGTTCTATCACCAAAGGGTATGTTGTACAATCAATTTATGTAAAATACTTTCTATTGGTCATCAAAGTTGCAAGCTTTAAGAAAAGGGGATAACTATTGAACATCAAAGTTACAAGCTTTTAAGAAAAGCGGATAACTATTAAGCTATAATCTTAAAGCTCTGTTATTACTTAAGAGGGTTAAATTTACATCAACTCAAAAAAACATTTCAACATTTTCCAATTTATGCAACAAAGTTTTCTTTATACAAACGTTTGACAAGCCTCTGTTTCATAAAAGAAAAATGAAGGTAAATGAGAGCAAGAGCCAGTGTTATCCCCATTAAAAAGAATGGTAATTGCAATACTGGTCAAAGAAATGAAAGTATTGTGCTATAATAAACATATCATGGAAGCTAGATCTGCTGTTTGGTGAATGAAAATCATATGCAAAAGATGGCTCCCTTTGGATATAATCAAACCGTCTATACTTCCATGAAGATGCTTTGCAATAAAGACGCAAGCAAAACTAAATGAGAGAGTATCTTCTTGATTTCAATGATTAGCCTAATAGAAATTCATTGAGACTACAATATTACATGTTTAATCAATTAGAAAATAAGAAAGGTAGATAATAACAAAGTGACATAAGAGTGATCAGGCAAGTCAACCTTAGCAGTGAATCCATTTGTGACATGGTTAAATCTCAATCCAAGTGACTGTCCAAACCACTCCACAAAAAAAAAACCATAAAATTAATTTTTTAAACCAAAATAGACATCGCCAACAGTCAACAGACATGAAAATGAAAACCATAAATAATATACTGCTACTTATCATAACCCATATCATACATTGTAGAGAGAAGAGATGAAGCAACAGTGAGCATCAGACTAAAAAGATTTAAAAAGGAAAAGCTCATCACAGGAATAAATGAATCTAGGATTTAAGCCCTTTACCTAGATTGATTACAGATTAACATTCAAATAAGCAACAAATAATATAGTTGTAATTTACCTTTTTAATTGTTACGTTCATGTTATAATTAGCAAATTATAGGGCTGGCTTCTATGAAAGTTGCAGGGATATGTATAGTGCCTCTCCATACATACATACATGAGTTGTCTCAAAGATTCATGGTTTTTATAGAACATTGAATTATTATCTGAAAGTTGTTGAGCCTCCTTGTAACCCTGTAAACATTCAGACCACAAATAGGGTCAGTTCTAATAAAAGTATTTACAACTGTGGATACCTTTTTCACTTATTTTCGTTTCTGTCCATAGAGAAAACACTCTTCATCTCAACAAGCTCATGTTATAAAATACATTTAACATAGATAGTGAAGGTTTTAACACACAACTCATAATCATATTAGATAAGCTTTTCATTATTCTCTTGAATGCAACAAAATCTACTTTTGTAACACTTACATAAGGTGGTTATGATGGATTCCTAGCTAACTTGGTCAAATTTTCAACAAACCCTTAACTAAATCCTTCATTACATATATTTTAGTTTTGTTTTTCTCTATGTTGTTCAACTATATCTCCAATACCCCCTTTCACCCTAATGTGTTGATCTCAATGGAACATTTTTAGTTAAAAAGTAAGAGAACGTATTGACAAGTCATACCATCTTTACGAGCAAGGCACACACATGAAGACGAAAACCTTGCTCCGATAATCAAATATTCCGAAACTCAGTGAAGCAAATGATCAAACACCTGGTGTGCAATGAAAATCCAACACCATAAAAAATAAAAACAAATAAAAAACTAAAAATTAAAAGAAGCTTGAACACAAAATTGTGTATACCTGTAAAGTACAATAACCAAACCTTGAAAATCTATGAAAAAATCCCATAATTCATCAAGCTGCTCTCACCTGTGGTCACAAGAAACCAAAATCACATAAAAGACTACACACACATAAAAAAAATATAAAAAATAAAAAATGGAAGTTTCACTGACAGAAAGCGTTGTCAACGATAAAAAAAGGAAGTAAGCACTTGGGGATGATGATGAATAGTTAGTGATGGTGGATGTATTTTCAACATATGATTTACCTCGAGAGCCAGCATTAGCATGAAAAACAGGAATCACTCTGATAACCTGTTGCAAAGACGTTCCGACATCATTAGGCCAGTCAAAATAATAAATCGCATCAATGAATTTCAAATATCCGTTTTTAGTTTTCAAAAGTAAAACTTAATTGTTTTGGTAGAAAAAGAAATTTGGAGATGCACAGGAGAAGGGGAGAACCTGAATCAACGAATCTGACATGAGGTTTCTTCTTCTTCTTCTTCTTCTTCTTCTTTTCAACCATCGATGACCAGGAGAAAATGATGAGGATGAACGGCACCTTCAATTTATAACATATGATTAATTTGTCTACAAATTGTTCATCCATAGAAGCTATTTTAGACACCCTATTCATGTTAGCGCTACCTTGGAGCAAAAAGGGAAGATAAGAAGAACAAGTCGAAGATGGAATAGAGCTCGGACCCTAAATTTAAAACCCAATGAAACCTAGAACAAAACAATCTGTAATAGCGGTGTACTGTATTGATTGATCTTAATTTTAAATGATTGTTTTTGCTACAAATCAACAACAACAAAAAGTAGAACCTATTAACTGGACCATAACAGGGGTAGTCATCGGTGGGTGAAACATGGATGTCCACCGGCAACGTCAACTGCCCAAGGGGACAAATTTCCCATCTTGAAAAACCAATTTCGGTTAGGTTATGTGGCGATGCTTTAAAATCGATGCTTATACAGAGATTCTAGAGAGAGAAAAAGAGAATACGAAGAGAGGAGAGGATCAATTATTTGAAAATGAGAAAAAGGAAAAGACAATAGAGGATCAGTTATATGAAGCTTTAAATTTCAGTCGGTGTAGAATACAGAGAATAACGTGTCGTGAGAAAGAGATGCCGAAGAAGGTGACTCAGCCGCCAATCATAACAACTGGCAAGGCTAGAAGCAAGAGATGGCAAGGCTACAAGCAAAACCGACAGTGAAGTCTCTTGCCGCGTGAGGTCAGGATGACGGTGGGGGTGAAGCAGGCAGCCACCAAGCTAACCGGTATATGACGTATAGGAAACTTACCACTGTATAAGTTCAAACTGGTCGCCATAGCCTTCTTATTGGGGGAGGGAAGAAGCTCGTCGACGTGGACATAAGCAAAAATCTTCAACATATATATATATATATATATATATATATATATATATATAGAAATTAAATTGCCTCCTACTTTTTATGCCTACAAATATTCATACCCAATAACATTGTGACACGTGTCATTATTCCACCATTCAATTTAATTTTATTTGATATATTCCTAATATAATCTTAATGAGATAGTTAAGTAAATATGGACTGCTAACACATGTCATAATTTTAATAGGTAGAAATATTTATAGGCATAAAAGGTAGGAGGTAATTTAATTTCTCATATATATATATATATATATATATATATATATATACACACGATCTACTCATGAATATAAGCAAACAATCAAAAAAGTGTGTAAACTGATCGTGTGATGGATTGGCCATTTTTTTTCTATTGTTGTGGAGGGTATTGCTGAGGAGGGTGCTGCTGAGGAGGGTATTGCTGATGAGTGTACTGCTGAGGAGTGTATTGTTGAGGATATTTCTCGAGATCAACACCGGCACCAACTGGGAGTGGACCTGTAGGACCTGTCGCGGCTTGTGTTACTGAAGATATTGTAAGATACGCACCAATCCCGAAAACTGCACTTAACAGAGCTAATATGGCTCCTGCTGCAAATATTCCTGGCTTCACAACATAACATGTAATATAACCATATGAATCAATCTGTCCGCCTTGTCTATTATTTAGTGCTGCAGCTGTAAGCAATAGTATCACAGCTATAACTGAAGCTACCCTGGATGTTAAAAAATATGTTAGTTTTATCCGATAGCATAAAGATTGTCATGATAATAATCAGAAAACAAGAATATCCATGTGGCCTACGTACGTACCATGACAATACAAAAAGTAGTTTTGTAATTGGGGTCGAATTAGGGTCGCTTCGACAACAACCAGATCCAAACCAAACACTTATGTAAATTCGTGTAATGATGGTGAAGATAGCTGATACGATTCCAAGTGCAAGTGCTGGACTATTTGGATAAACACACGAATCAAGCACCATAAAGACTTCAGAAACCTGCATCCGTGCATGCCCACAACACATATATCATTATAATGTCAAAATCATTTCGTGAGTTTAATTTACCAAATAACAGGCATATTATTTTTTTTATTATCTTAACCCTAGTTGCTTCCCCCGCAAAACCGGTGGATGCAGCTATTATTCCGAGGACCGCTGCAATTGCGCAGTGCACTGCAACTTTGCTATCCATTTATGAGGTCTGTGTGAAACTGTTGAGTGTTAATGAAGAAGCTTGTGGATGAATACAGCTTGTGAAGGAAAGTGTAAGTATATATCAAGGTTCTAAAAAGCTCATCATGGCTCCGCCATGGCGCGTCATGGCTCCGCCATGACACGTCATTGCTTCAAGGCTTGTACCTGTCGCCAATCTTTAACAAAACGCCGTCTTAACTCATATATGTGTATAAAAATTGATAATAGTTGAAAATACATATAAAAATATTAATTATATACAAAATAGTCGTCTTAAGTCACGCCTTACAAACGACGTAACTCGCCAAGGCTCAGAAAAGCTTGAGGCTTGACATTGCCGTCAAGTCACGCCTTACGTTTTTTAGAACCTTGGTATATATAGATAGGTACACATTAAAGTGGATACTAAGAAACGAAATACACGACGTTTACTTTCTTATGTCGACCTAACACGACCTAACACTGGTCAACCATTCTTTAATGGTAAATAAGTATATAATAACAATAAAGATTTATATAAAATTTTGCATAAGTTTTTCATTATTATTATTATTATTATTATTATTATTATTATTATTAGGTTACCCGTGAAAACCACAGATAAAAGATTTATAAAACATATTTATTTTATTAATAAGATTTAAGTTTTCTTAAAACTTTTATATTGGTTATTTAAAATAATATATATATATATATATATATATATATATATATATATATATATATATATATATATTATATATATATTATCATATCATATCATACTATATTATAAAAGAAGCATTTTTCATTTTACCACATTCGTTTGAAACTCTCATGCATTTTTCCTTTCACCACATTCTGTAACATTCTGATTCCGGGGTATAACATTTCTATTGTAATACTGAGTTTCATGGGCGACTCGACGAGTTAGTGCCTCAACTCGTCGAGTAGAGTCGCATTGGGTGACGAGGATTAATGAGCTGACTCGACGAGTCTGTGTTTCGACTCGCCGAGTCAGCACTGGTGAAGGAAACCCTAAACTTTCGGGCCTATGACCTATTTAAAGGCACTTATAGCTTCATTTGCGGCTCATCTTCTGATCAACTCTCCTGTGTGAAACCCTAGGCGGCCATGGAAGCTAAGAGAGAGTCCTTGAGCTTGTATCAAGTGTTTTGATGGACCTTTTTGGAAGAAGAGGAGTGAGCTTCAAGCAAGGAGTGAGATGAGGCTGTGGGATCTAGCATTTCTTCTCAAAGAGCTTCTCTGGAAGGTAAAAAGACCACACCTTTCTCATCTATTTAGTTGGATCTCATATCTATGAAAATTTAGGGCTTTTGTCATTTTGGTTGGGTTTTGAGTAGCATGTGTTATCCAGAAGTCTAGACCTCAGATCTGGACCTTGTGAGGTCCTTAGAGTTTAGATGTCCCAACTTTATTCATCCATATGAGGGTTTCTGGGCTTAATCATTCATGAAAGGCATGTATTAGCATTTTGGAGCAATAACCTCATGTATGAACGTAAAGATCGAAGCTTTACGTGATTATTGAGCCTTGAGATGATAGATCTAGTGTTTGGAGTGATAGATCTGATTGAAATCGTCTGAATGAACATTTGGTCTGAATGAACTCGCCGAGTCAATGAGCCGACTCGACGAGTTGGTTAGGGTTTGTCCCGAAGAGCTGAATCATGCAATAGCTCGACGAGTTAGGGGTCAACTCGACGAGCTGAGCTGGACTTTCACGAGTTAGTGGACTCGACAAGTCACAAGGGTGCACTCGGCGAGTCTGGTCAAAATTGGACCGTTGACTGGAGTTGACTTCAGTTGACCTTAGGGTTTGGTCAAACTGATTAAGAAGGGTCAGGGAGGGGTAGAAGGGTCTTCTACCCATTCTCTAGAGATGAAGATGTAAAGAGAGTATTGATTAGAATTATTATCATTGTGCTAGGCGGAGGCTAGATCGAGGATATCGAGCACGAGAGTTTACTAGACATCTTACGAGGTGAGTCCTCTCACTATACATTACCTAGAGTGGTATCTATGTGCAGACCGGAGGGTCTTATGTGTTATGTGTTTACTTGAGATTATGTGCATTGTGATTTATGTATGCTATGTGATATTTAGACCAGACCGGAGGGTCCAACGACTTACGAGGCCAGAGGGTCCTCAAGCAGACCGGACCGGAGGGTCCAACGATTTAAACCGGACCAGAGGGTCCAACGAGCTAGACCGGACTGGAGGGTCCAACGAGCTACGAGACTGGAGGGTCCCGCTGAGACACATTGACCAGAGGGTCTTACCGAGTTATAGCCTCGAGTGGCTTATGTGTTGTATGTGGTTTTTTTGGGAACTCACTAAGCATTTATGCTTACCGTGTTACGCGATATGTGTTTCAGGTACTACCGAGGATCGCGGGAAGGGGCCGACATGATTTGTACACACTGGCAGAGGATTATGTTTTTGAGATTATGGGATATGTTTTATTGTGATGACATTTGATACACATGAGATTTTGAGAATATTATATGAGTTTTATTGTGTTTGAAAAATGAAAAATTGTTTTAAAATTTACGTCGTTATAAGTTGGTATCAAAGCCAGGTTTGAGGGATTCGGATGCACCTTCGGGTAAATCTGGACTCAAACTGAGGATTTGAGAAAAAAATTTCAGAGAAATGATTTTTCTAAAGCGAGAAAGAGTGTGTAAGAGAATTTACAATGAGTATGAGATATATGAGCATAGAGGCAGGCTAGGTATTTCATATTTTAGGACTAGAGTGGCCTGATTTGTGATGCCTTAGCCTAGGAGTTGCTGTTATCTGTGATGTGCTTCCGAGTATGTGCTGAGTAAGAGTATCCAGCAAGAATCCTTTTAGAGAAGGATTTGAGTAGAGGAGTAATCTAGGAGAGATATCTAGATGAGCATTGTGGAGCCTATTAAGAGAGTAGTTAGATACCCGCGATGGGTAGAGTTGCTGAGTTCGGTGATATCTTTTGAGTATGAGTAGAGCAATTGGAGTTATCACCTAGAGTGGGTTTTACGTGTTTATTCGATGCCCGAATGCTGCTTGCTTCGTGCTTTGTGGAACTTTCAATGATGGGAGTCAGCTACCAAGTGAATATGACGATATTCAGGAGGTAGATGGTTGGCATCATTAGGAGTCTTCAGCAGCTGATGGCGGAGAAGTGTGAGGACCTAGGAAGAGCCTAGGAAGTGACATTATTCAGATGAGTACGCTGACAGAGTAGAGCATTTTACTGGGAAGCGAGCACGCGTGACGAGATTAGTGATTGAGAAGGTTGAACACTACTTAGGGACTCTGGGATGGTCCGTGTAGAGAGTATGGGTAGATGTGGCAGGTAGTATGGGCCCGTACTACTGAAAGCAGAGGACCCATACTCGATGCAGGGAGTATTCCGGAGGATCTAAGTAGCAGATCGAGAGGTGATGTCATGGTTCGAGTACCATGATTTGGGGCGGATTGAGAAGAGAGAACATGGTTCGAGTACCATGATTTGTAACAGATTAAGAGGATATAACATGGTTCGAGTACCATGATTCATAGCAGATCGAGAGGTGGTCACATGGTTTGAGTACCATGACACGTGGCGGTTAGTGCTTCTGGTTTTACCGGTTATTCCGTGGTGATTGTCTAGACTGAGATCAGATGTGAAAGAGTATGGGGCCAGAGGGCCATGATGAACGAGTTTTAGTGGAGCATCCATTGGGAGGGAAATCGAGTTAGCTCCGAGGGATTGTTGGTGAGATGCCAGTTGGAGTCGCAAGACTCAGGGATGAGTAAGGATGGTGTGTTATGGAATACGGTCTGGGCTGAGCGACCAGCCGATAGTGGAGATGTCACTTTCTGTGACCTGAGTGGTGCTACTTCAGTTTTCTGCGGGAAGCAGGAGAGATACTGAGTTTTTGGTTCAGAGTTGAAGGTAAACCCTGTGGGGTAGCAAGCATGGTGACCTTTTCACCAAAATGTTTAGGCAGTATGTTGGCTGCGAGGTATTCTTATACCAGGAAAGAGTCATTAGAGGGACTAAGACGGATGAGAACAAAGAGGGTGCCTTGTTGGGGAAAAGGTGCTGTTATTAGTAGTTTCCGGTGGTAAAAAAAGGAGTATATCGGGGCAGTGGCCCTCGTGGTCTACATTGTGTATCAACAGTGAGAATGAGGTCTGTGCTTTTATGATTATTCCCGATTTGGGAGGCGGGTCAAGGAGATAGAGTCGAAGTGCGCGATAGGGCACTATTTCCGGATTAGAGACAGATTGGATTCGGAACAGTGGGGTTTCTGGCGGTGTGTCAGTCTGAGCCTTCAAGGTGACTAGATGCAGTCATCTAGGGAGGATTCCAAGATTTTGTCAGGGACGGAAATTGGAGAGTGTTTGGTTTCCTTTGGGAAGGCCCTGGGATGATTGCGTAACACTTTTAAGAGTCAAGTGTGTCATGACTGGTGAGACAATCTTCTGAGTAGGTTGTGGATGTGCCAATTGGTGATTGTTCGAACCCTGAGTGGGGGAGAACTAGTTTTCCAGTTAGGGGACCAGTGATCCATTCATGTGCGGTCAGAGGAATGGTTATGGGAATTTGCGTTGCGGACGCATAAGCCCGAGGAGGAGGCGAGGTGCCAGATGGGAAGATGTATGAGTTTGTGTTTAAGAAAAGATGAGTGGATCCATGGCAGGTGGCCGTGGATTGGAAAATTCATTGTGGCCTATGATTTCGGGGTTAACATATGTCGAGTTCGAGTGCGACCGGGTCGCTGGATTGCGGATGCAATAGCTGAGATTTGCAAGTGAGGGTATAGATTGTAATCTATACCCCTGGAAGGGCAGCAGTTGATTCGTCAACCAATTTCAGGGTCGATATGAGTAGTTCCGTAAGGGTAGTGACCAGTAGAGGGGGAATTTCGGGTTTTCGACAACATGTTCTGGGCCATTGACGATGCCTCGGTATTTCAATTGGGAGATGGAATACCCTGAGGTTACAAGTGGTGCGAGAGGAAGATCG